TGTGTATACTCAAATTAACTCGGTGTTGATGTAATATGCAGAGCTGTCACATGAGAGTTAAATGCTGGCCTTGTTAAACAGAGCCCTTACATCTATTTTCCAGTATGCCTGATGTAAATTGATGCAGAAAATGCCAGTGGCGTGGGTTAGATTGTAGTGGTTGTGAAAGCATTCATTGAGGCATAGCAGGCTGGGATTGGTGGTCAGCATGTATCAATTGTACACATTCCTTTTCCTTTTGCCTCAGTTTCCACGGGCTCCCTTGCTCAGCAGTATGCACATCCTAATGCCACCCTGCATCCACATACTCCCCATCCCCAGCCTTCGGCCACTCCCACTGGACAGCAACAAAGCCAGCATGGTGGAAATCATCCTGCACCCAGTCCTGTTCAGGTAAGGAGAGGCGTGGCCTGTGCGTGCACAGCTGCTTCCTTGTCCCTGCTACTTGCAAGTCTCTGTGATCAGGATGTATCAGCCATCCTTACAAAGCTGCGCGAAGTTGTGGGTTCAGGGGAGGCCTAAGCCATACCCTAAGGGTGAAGGCCAGAAACATGAGTGTGGAAAAGCTACTTTAGACTTAACAAAGAACTTTAAGCTAAAGCACTGTCTGGGATTTCATTTCTGAAGTCACTCACTAATGCTTCCTTCCTATTGACTTCTTCTTTTCCCCAAGACAGGGTTTCTCTGTGTAACAATCCTGACTGTCTTGGAATTCATTTTGTAGACCATACTGGTCTCAAACTCACGACCTCTGCCTCTGCCTCCCAAGTGCTGGGATTAAAGTTAAAGGCTTGTGCCATCACTGCCCCAGCTGCCTGTTGGCTTTAGTCACAGTAGCTAGTGGGGCAGTTGACAGCCTGACATCTTGTCATTTGTTCCACTTCCGCTTGTTTGTGCCTGTGACTGCCAGGCTGAGACTTGGGCTGGAGAGCCCTCGATGCTCTTCTCCCTGCATCTCCTGGGCATGGCTGGAGTGGGGGTAGGGCTTCTGCTACCTTCAGTGTATGAAGCGCTGACCCTGATGAAGTTTCCCATTGCTTTGCAGCACCATCAGCACCAAGCTGCCCAAGCTCTTCATCTGGCCAGTCCACAGCAGCAGTCAGCCATTTACCACGCGGGGCTGGCACCAACCCCACCTTCCATGACACCTGCCTCTAATACACAGTCTCCACAGAGCAGCTTCCCAGCAGCCCAGCAGACGGTCTTCACCATCCATCCTTCTCATGTTCAGCCGGCATATACCACCCCTCCCCACATGGCCCACGTACCTCAGGTAAACCAGCACTAGCCAAGTTTCTGTGAAGGCCACATAGGGTGTGGTGGTTGTCAGATAAGCAGCAGGGAGCCAGATGCTCCCCAAGCCAGAAACCCTGTGTGTGGTGCCATCTGCCTGTCTCCCCCTCCCTGCTTAGTATGTGATCTTCTGGCCCTCGGTGAATGTTGCTATGATTTTGTGATGGGATCAGTGAAACTGTGACTTAGCATTTCCCAGCTGAGACCTTAAAACTCTTGAGTCTGGAATGCACCCCAGTCCTTTCCTTTCTGTGTCTGCTTTGCTCCGTCTTTCTAGCTTGACCACTATGTGTCTATGTGCACACACAGACACCTCTACACACGCACACATGGAGCCTGGCAGGGATGGCAGGCAGGCTTTCAATGGTTCTCAGCTCTCTGAGGTGACTGCACTAGGCCTGTTAGCTTGAATGTTAGTCACATGAATTCCGAGACGTGTCTCAGTTGTTTGCCTGGTTATCCTCTATCTGCTGCGATCCTGTGTTGTGCTTCCTGAGCGCTTGGCCTTGGATTACGGTGCAGTGTAACTGAAGACCCAGGGCCAGGAGAGGCCTCTATGGCTTAGTGTGAGGTGGCTGCACCAGGTGTCTCTGCTACTTTGATCGTAGCTCCTTGAGGCGGGTCTCACTTAGGGTTACTGAATGACTCCATTTCCTGTCAGTGCGCCAGTGAGGCTCTGGCAAGGTATGAGCTAGAGCTGTGCAGTTGGGTCTCTTGCAGAAGGCTAGTTTGTTACTAGGTGTCCTTTCCCCAGAGCTAAGTCTGTAGTGAATACTCCGTTGATTGGCTGCTGACAATGGGGAGGGGAGCCAGTTTGGTCAGTGTGCTTTGGTGGAGTGAAACTTAAGAGAGTCAGAGTCCTGTAAGTGTCTAGCAGAGGCTGCGAATTTACTTTAAGATGGGCTCTCCCCAAACCTCAATTGTGTGTTTATGTAGAAGAGTAAGAGGCTAACATAGGGAAAGCAGAGAGCCATGGGCGTGTTTGAAGGTGTGAGATGGTCTAGAGCAATGCACAGGATGGGAGGCAGGAAGCAGCCTCTTCCTGCTCTGCCCACTCCTGCAGAGCTGAGGTCGAGCTCACCAACCGGTCAGCCAATATCAGTTTTGTAAGTTAAACTTGCTGCCACTTGGTACAGGACACCAGGCTGACCTAACTCCAGATCATTCTTATCTCATTGGAGCCATTAACTGCACCTTTTGCTCCATCAGCCAAGCTTTTAGAGTGAGGGGCCTAAGTGCTGCTTCATCTTTCTGGGGAACTCATCACAACGTGGGGAGGGCAGAAGAGGAGAGACTCAGGAAGCTGCTAAGGGTGCTGGGGAGACAGTCTCCTCCTGTCTTTGGCCCCGTGCCATAGCAAGTTAAGTATGTGCCCCTCCCGCCCCAGTGAAGGCCTGCTCTTGATGAAGACCTTGCCCTGTGTGGTAATCTGTGAGCAAATCTGGGGACGACTAGGAGGTTGTGCCAACTTCCCCATCCCAACCCTCCAGGATCTGCCTCAAGGATTCCATCTTGCCCCTTCTTGAGTCCCAGTTCAATGAAAGGAACAGTTGACTTGTTGTTTAAGACGGAGATGTTGCCTGTATGCGTAAAAGAGCTCTCTGTTTCAGGCTCATGTACAGTCAGGAATGGTTCCTTCTCATCCAACTGCCCATGCGCCAATGATGCTAATGACGACACAGCCACCCGGCGGTCCCCAGGCCGCCCTCGCTCAAAGTGCACTACAGCCCATTCCAGTCTCGACAACAGCGCATTTCCCCTATATGACGCACCCTTCAGGTGAGGCGTGTGTGTGCAGGGGCCGCCGGGGCACCCCAAGCATTCTGCTCAAACAGGTAGAATGGCAGGCAGGACCAGTGGTTCAGGCTCCAAACCTGACTAGCAAGGCCTGTCCAAGTGTTTGCAGGAGGGATTGTGATGGTCAGGGAGCATCAGGGCTCAGGGCCTCCGGAGCTGAATCTGTGTGTGTTCTGCTGGTATCAGGGTTGGCTTGAGAAGCAGCAGCCTCATTCTGGGTAGCTGATGCATGCCGAGGACTCAGTTTGGCCTTCCTGGTTATGTATGACAGGCTGGACAGGGCAAGCGTGTTCCTTCCTGAGTCCCTACAGGCTGATGTGGGGGGTTTATGCCCATGGCCGAGTCTGATTTGTAGCTTGGAGGAGAACACTGAGCTGTGTGCGGACTGGTTTGAGTGTAGTTTTAGCACCAGCCTGTGCCCTGACACAGGACACCCATGATGTCTCGTACTGGATGGCTATGGCAACACCTGTCTCCCCTGTGACTTGGAAAAAGTATTGGTGCTTGGCTAGCATTAGTGGGAGGGGGTGTGAAGGCCTGTGCTCCTGCCCCACAAGCAGCAAGTCCAGGACTTGTATCTGAAGTGGTTTTACGTCTGACTGGTTTGTTTCTCCTCACCCCCCTTCCCTCCCCAACCTCACCTTGGCTGCAGCTGGGGGGGAGAGGGGCGCTAGCATTAACCCTCCAGTGTTACTCAGCCAGCAGGAGAGTAGTTGACAGTCATGTGCTGCAGACACTAGGTTGGTGGGCAGTGGAGCCTGTGTTCTGTTTAAATAGCCACTTTTCTTTTTTACAGTACAAGCCCACCACCAACAGCAGTTGTAAGGCTGCCCTGGAGGAACCGAAAGGCCAAATTCCCTCCTCCCTTCTACTGCTTCTACCAACTGGAAGCACAGAAAACTAGAACTTCATTTATTTTGTTTTTTAAAGAGATACACTGATTTAACATCCAATAGGAACTAACAGTTCACTTGCAGTGGAGGATGTTTTGGACCGAGTAGAGGCATGTAGGGACTTGTGGCTGTTCCATAATTCCATGTGCTGTTGCAGGGTCCCGCAAGTACCCAGCTCTGCTTGCTGAAACTGGAAGTTATTTATTTTTTAATGGCCCTTGAGAGTCATGAACGCATCAGCTAGCAAAAGAAGTAACAAGAGTGATTCTTGCTGCTATTACCGCTTTAAAAAAAAAAAATCAAGACTTGGAACGCCCTTTTACTAAACTTGACAGAAGTTCAGTAAATTCTTACCGCCAAACTGACGGATTATTATTTATAAATCAAGTTTGATGAGGCAATCACTGTCTACAGTGGTTCAACTTTTAAGTTAAGGGAAAACTTTTACTTTGTAGATAATATAAAATAAAAACTAAAAAAAAATTAAAAAATAAAAAAAGTTTTAAAAACTGATACCCACTTAGTGTGCGTTTGTGGCGACTTCTGCTGCTGTGGGTGCAGACCCTGGGCGGGCAGGCTGGGTGTACAAGCTCCAGTCTCCTACTAGAGGAGGGGCTAACCAATGACTTTTCTCCTTCACCTTCAGTTCTGGCTCAAGACTGAGATTTCTTGGCTTTGGCAGGAGGAAGGCTGGCCAGTGTCAAAAGTCTGTATCTGCAAGCAGGTGCAGACTCTGTTTGTTAGTATCTCCAGACTTAACCAAACGGCTGTTGATCCACATTATCCCAGTTCAGGCCTGTGTTACCAGCAGGGGGCAGGAGATAACTTCTTTACCAGTCTGGAGATGTGTCCTTATTAGCTAAGTCCTTGCTAGTAGCACAGAGCGCTGGTTCCATCCCTAGGGGAGCTGGGAGGGGAAGGGATTCAGAGAACAGGAAAGCCAGAAGAACAGAGCTGTCTGTTATAAGGGAAAGGTAAGTGGAGAGGGAGTTGGTGTTGCAGAGATCATGTTCATAATTCTGAAAACCTTTTTAATTCACATATAGCAATTTGTACACTGTAGCAAAAATTTGCATTATTTAAGAATAAGTTACTCATACAGTACATAAAACAAAGATTTGCTAAATACCTTCTGCCTATTGTGATAGAAGATGAAATCCCTTCTTCCTGTTGTCACAATGCTTATTTGAACCTTACACACTGGCCATTAGATTCACCTCCATTAGGAGGCAGTGGACAACAGTCTGTCACTTGATGTTTGCACTAAGGTAACAATTTGAACAAGAGCCCTCAGGGAAGAGATGAGTCTTCTTTTAGGTTAAGAAACTTACGTAAAAATAGTGTTGTCTGGCCCAAAAATGTAACGATCACTATTCCTTTTCCCTATGGTCCAGAGATGATCAGAGTTTTATTCCAGATATAAAGCCATATGGACCGCTGGTCTAAAGTCAAGGCAGGTTAGCTGACTTCATTCTTTGGTGCTGGTGGCTGTTAGTGTGTAGTTGTAGTCAGAAGGAAGCAGTGTTGCAGGGACTGTTGAGCTACACTTACAGTCTCTATAGGGCCAACTCACACTGTGCCTAGTGTGGCCTCACCTGCCAATGGGGGTGTCAGGACTACTGGGATGGGAATGGTGCCTGCCTGGTAATGACACTGGTGAGGGCATCTCACCTGATTCCCCTTCAGCCAACTTGGACCTATTGTAGCAGAAAGAAAAAGGTGGTGGCTTAGTGCCACTCTATCCCAAAGCCATGAGAAGACTGTCATAATATACACCTTTTGAAAGGAAGCCTTCAGACCACAGTGCGTGAGTGAGTCCCAACACTGCAGCAGAGGTGCTGGTTTACAGTGTATATGGCCAGTCTCCCCTCTACTGAGAGCTGTGTGTCTGACGAGCCCAGGAGAAATGAATGCTTCTAGTCTGTAGGGGTAGAGATACAACTGCCCAATCAGCCCCTTTCCAGGACTGCATAGCTTAGAGATGAGTCTGGGCCAGTGGCTGAATATTGCTTTTATCTTTGGTTCAAACTTTTTGTGGAAAATGAAGGAAAGCTAGTTCTCTTAGGTGTAGCACAAATCTGCACCTATGTGGGATATGCCTTGCTCTGTGAACACAATGGTGGGTGTCCAAGGTTAAACAGTTGGCTGCTCCCCCATCCACTAAGGGCCACACAAGCTTGCACAGTACGGAGGGTAACCAAATGAGAAGGGTCATCATGTTCGCCTCTGGTGAACATGTCCAAGAATTAAGTTGGGACTCCCCACTGCCATACCTGTGAACTTATGCACTGACTGGCACCTTTGATCAGGAGCAGCCCACTCTCTAGTCCCTATGAACTGTCACCTGGAAAAGATCAGATTAGTATAGACCCTATTGGTTGTCACCAGTGACCCTGTTACCTTGGACAGAACACTTACTGTGCTAACTTCCTTTTGGATCAGAATGGAACCATACTCTAAGCCATTAATTCTTGGGTGCACGGCAGGGACAAGCTATAAATTTGGGTTCACTACACAGGCCCAGGCGCCTTTGCATTTGTGCTTGTCCCCCCCCCCCCCCTGCTGTCTCTGATAAGCTACTGGAAACCCGAGTCCTGTTTTTATGCATAAGGCACTGGGATAGAATGTCCCTCGCCACCCCCCCTCTCTGCAAGCTGCCTGGATTCCCTGAAAGGGCGACACTTACATTCTCTAAATTAGGGACGACAGTGGCTACCCCGTATAGCAGGCAACCATCCTGAGGAGGAGCAGACAGGGACACTAGCGTGCTGGCTTAGCTCGGGTGAGAGAAGCAGGTGTGCTTAGCTGCCCTGACTGGAATGGCATGGGTCCTAGTAGGGGGCAGTGCAGGGAGAGACGCTGTGATTTTATATGAAAATGTTAAAAAAAAAATCAATCTGAGGTAAAAATGTTTAGATTTTTTGACTTTTCAGCCCATCCCTCTGGCAGAGCTTCTGTCTAAAGCTGAGAGCAGACGCAGGATTAAGAGGCAAGAGGCATCTATCACCTGTGGAACTGGAGCTACAGAGAGGGAGATGGGGACTTGTTAGTGTTTTGTGCTTCCCGTGACCCTACCTGGTAGGAAGTCTTTCATCTCTGACTGTAGTTTCTACTGCCAGCTCTGGGCCTGTGGCCCCACTCCTCTGGGTTGGGGACTGGGCCTAGGGTACCAGCTAGTGGCACCTGTGCACAAGAACTACATCTGTAAACAGTGGGAGAAAGCCAGGAGCTAGCTGTGGCTGACAGGAGGCCTGTGGCAGCCTGGTGGAGTGCACATCTGAGCTGGGGAAGGCTTATTGCAGCCTGTAGCTATCTGGAGGGGAAGGACGATGGTTACATTCACAAGTTTGAATCCCTGCACAGCTGTGAGAGAGGGGTATACTGGTTGTCGATGGCCCGAAGGTGGCTCCGTGAAGAGGAGTCCATCCCATAGTCTGAGTCCCGGGCACTGCTCACAGGCTCCAGTTCCAGGTGCCGCAGACTGTTGGCTAGTTCCTCAGGAGAAGGCACCAAGTGGAAGATTTGCTCTGGGGGCGTCACTCGGCCAGGAAGAGCTTCTGCGCCAAGGCTGGGGGGACAGCCAGCAGAGTTGAGGTGGGAGAGACCCAGCTCTGAGTCCCAGGGAGGAAGGGAGAAAGGGAAGGGGACCGTGTTGGAGGAACCTGGAGAGGTGACATGGATGAGTCTTGACAGTGAAGAAAGTGCTCGAGGCAATCCTTATGCGATTTTGTGACACCACCCCTTGACAAAACTTAGAGTTCCTACCTGGTGCTTGGGAGACGACTACCACATAGCCGGAGAGCCGGACATCACAGGCTGCCCCACACTCAAGTGGGATGGGGGAGCGCTGGAAGTGGCGGAGCATGTCCACCACCGAGGGAAAGTGCAGGTGCTGCACACGGCACTGCCCACGCTCTGTGAGCACCAGGCGAAGGTGCTACGAAAAGGCTGGGGTCAGCCTGCTGCCCAGGCTGCATTCCTCCCACCCAAGCCCACCAGTTCCTGCCCCTACCTTGGCTCTGCCCTGTAAGTTGAATGTGAGCACATACTCCCCTCTCCTGGACTCGCTCTGCCGCACCAGGAACACGCCGTGAGCATCAGGGCCCTGCAGCTGAACCAACTGTGCAGCTTTCACTCTGGAGATAGGGCCATGGAACCAGGGGTAGCAGGACAGGAAGTGATCTGTTTTCTGGCAGGCCGAGTCCAACACTGCCCCAGGTGAAGCACCTAGCAGAAAGTGGTAGTGGTAACATGCACGGTGGCCACGTGTTCAGGACACCCAGAGGCCAAGGCTCTGGCACATACCTTGATCCAGGGAGTCTGTGCTTCCCCTTGGAGAGTTGGCTGGTCCAGGCTCTGCCATGAAGGAAAGGGGTAACTCTGTGTCCATGCGCTCCAGCCTGTAGGGGAAGAGGCTGGGTGAGGAAGGAGCCAGCAGGGAGGGTCAGAGCTTGACTGGGCAGGGGCAGGTCTCACCCTTGGCCTGTGCTTGTTCTGAGCTCTGCCAGCCATGAGTTGAGCTGCTGTTGGTCTCCCACCTCAAAGATGATGTCTGTCTGGTCCTGCACCTGCAGAGAGGTAGCATACAGCTCTGCATCTGTATCAATGCTGTATGAGAGAGACAGCAACATCTGCAGGAGGCCACAGCACCAGCACTCACCTTCAGCACAAAGGTATAGAGGTTGTCAGGCATCTCCAGGCGTGTGCATGGCCGGACCTCCCGGATGCTGGAACATGCTTCTTGGAACTTGGGCTTTGAGCTCTATGAAAAAAGAGGGGGGGCCACTCAAGTTTAGCCCATAGAGCCCCCCCCTCGGGTTGTCTTGCAGTACTAGAGGAAGGAGGTACAGGAACACCTTTGTGCGGCTTGCTTCTCTCCATCAGGAAGCTGCTGTTCTCCCCAACCCTGCTGCCCAATGGACTCAGGCTAGTCCCAAACAGTCAGCTGTAGGAGTCAATGAAGTTGACTCTACAACATGCCTGGGAGAGCCACTTTTCTGGGTTTGGCTTGCACCACAGATGCCAGTTCCCAGGTCAGGGTACCTTAGGACCCAGACCAGGCCGTTGTTTGTAGGAGGGGAGCCCTCCTCTTGCCTGTCATCTAGTCCTTATTTCCTCTGGTGATAAGGTTGTTCTTGATGGCTGAGGGCCAAGAAGTCAGTTCTTGTTTTGGCTGTTAGGATGCTCAGTGTCAAATATAGTAATTGCGTTTCCACAGTGAATCTTGGCCTTCTACTGTGCTCTGCCCTCTCAGATATAGGGTCGAGCTCTGCCCCTTAGTCTGCATCTCCAAGCCACCGGAGCTGCCTATTTCCAAACTATTTCTGACAGCTGATGTGGGTCTGATGATGGAAAAAAAGGCCTGAGCTGTTTCCAGGATGGCAGTCAGCTCTGTATGGGTCATGGCACACTGCAGTTGCCTGTCTGTACAATCCTAGCAATGATAGAACAGGAAGGAGCCAGGTTAGGAATCCTGCCACCAGCCACCTCCAGCTTTCTGGGAAATGAGAGGGTGACTCACTAGCACCAGGGCCTCCTCTTAGGTCCTTGTATTAATTCCTGATTATTTCTTTTTGTGGGGGGGAGGAGGGGTTGAGACAGGGTCTCTATGTAGCTTTGGAAACTGTCCTGGAACTCTGCTCTATAGACCAGGCTGGCCTCACTCACAGAGATTCACCTGCCTCTGCCTCGAAAGTGTTGGGATGCACCACCACGGCATGTCGTTTCCTTGTCACTCTTAAAGCCACACAGTTTCATGTGTCAAGGGACAGCAAGGACCTATCTTGGTACCCGACAGTATCTTCAGACTGCAGCTTCACCTTTGGGGCCCTGAAGGCACCTGGCCCAGGGAAGCCACACCTACCCTAGAGCCTGGCTCCTGCCACCCTGTGACCTGAGGACAGGAGGAGGGACCCACTAATCTAGGCTTTTGAGCAACTGAGTCCTGCCATTTATGGTTGTCTTCTCCCACCCCGAATGCCATCCCAGAGCCTGGTATGATGGATAACGGCGACTCCAGGGATGGTACTAGGGAGATGGAGGCAGGGGCTTTGGGCTAACCTCCCAGATAATAGGAAGGCTTGTTTTTCTAAACAAAAACACAAATACCCTACTCTGTTCCAAAGTAGATTCCAGGGACATCTGGGAGCTAACCAGATGAGAAGTCAGTCTGAAGAGGAGCCTGACAAGTCTAGCAGCAGACTGTTGAGCCCATTTCGTTTTCCTGACTCTGTCCTCTTTCTTGAACCTTATTCCCATTCTAGGCCTTAGGGTCAAGTAAGTCTGCAAATTCCAGATTCATGGCACCTGCCAGCCAAGCTTACACTTGCCCTGCTAGCCATTTCCCCCTACTGTTCCCTACAGGTCGATCAGATTGAGGCCATTTGGCAAGAGCTCTGCTCCAGGGCAGCAGTCCTAGGTGGGCACGGTGTGAGCTTTGGCAGCACGCTCCAGAGTGGCCACAGCTAGAGAGGACATCCTCAGCACTGGAACGCAGGCAGCCCAGCAAAGTGCTTCCAAGGAATGGGGTTTGCAGGCTGGCGATACAACTGTTAAGTCACGGGATAAGTACTGCATGATTTGAGGGCAAAATTCCAGAGTGTTCCCTTGACATCAGTAAGGCTATATTTGTATGTGTGGGAGGAATCCCCCTATTAAAAAGAGCTCCTCGGGAAACAGCTTCCAGCATGCGGAATCCACAGGTACCTTTCACAATCATAAAGGAGCCCCAGAACTCTGCCTGTCAAAGCAAAGTAGATGTTGGGGTTCTCAGGAAACCTTTCCGGGGTGAAAATTAAGGATGAAAAGTGATGAACGACCCTGAAACCTAGAGAACCTCATATTGGAGAGCCCAGGATCAGAGAGAGAAGACAGGCAATTGTTTGCCGAGTAACAGGACCAGACCGTGATGTAAGGGCATGCAGATCAGCAGCACAGACAAGACAGGCTAGAGAGGTAGCGTGGGTGACAGAGTGCTTGCCTCACTTGCACAAAGCCCTAGTTCAGTCCCCAGCACCACCAAAACCAGGTATGGCACAAACTTCATTAGGATCAGAAATTCAGGTCGTCCTTGACTGCATCTTGAGCTCAGGTACAGAGAAACAAAGTCATGGCCTGCTGAGACCTAAAATACAGAGAAGGCTGGTGGTCTAGCTCAGATCCTTGCCCAGCACGTGCCATCAGGCCCCCCAAAACAGGGAAACAGAATTCACAGAGTAGACAGCCCATAGGGGACAGACTGCTGAGAGAGGCACAGTCCTCTCAAATGAGATATTCTGCAATTAGACAGTAGTACAATTGTGTAACTATGCTAAAAACTAATGCATTGTTCACTTCAAGCAAGGAAATTTCATAGGAATAAAACTTTCTAAAGAGTGAAATGGCAGCTGGATGTGGTGGCGCACACCTTTAATCCCAACACCTGGCAGACACTGTTGGATGCAAGTCTGGTCTACACAGAGAAACCCTGTCTCGAAAAACAAAACAAACAGATAGCCAGTCATGCTCCTAACCAAAAGGGGTTGGGCTGGAGGCTGGAGAGATAGTTCAGCCATTAAGAGCACTTTGTTGAAGTTAGAGAGACGGCTCAATGGTCAAGAGCACTGGCTGCTCTTCCAAAGGACCTGGGTTCAACGCCCACGTGGCAGCTCATAACTGTCAACACACTCACACAGACATGCATGAAGGTCAAACACCAATGCACATTTTTTAAAAAAAGCACTTTGTGCTGTCCCATAGTACCCAAGTTCCTGGCACCTACCTAGTGACTCACAAACACCTCAGCACCAGAGGCACCAACACCTATCTCTCCAGATACCAGAGCACACACATGCACAGCCACATAATAAAAGCTGTAAGCTAGGACAGACTGGTTACAAGTTCCAGCTAGTCTGAGACACATAGCATAAGGGGACTGAGGTGACAAGATGGTACGTAGTGCTGGTACCACTGGGTGAAGGACATAGCAGAGCACGGGAAGGAAATGGTCACTGAACATGGCAAAGACACCCTTAGCCAGCCATAGACCCAAGTCCAGTCCTGGCTCAGCCAACAGCTGCAGCCAATATGGAGATGTGGCGTGACTAGTCATCGAGGATACCTGTCCATGCTCTTGTGGGAATACCACCTTATGTTGTCATTTTGCAACCCCTCAAAATGTTAAGCACAGAGTGAATAACCTACTAGGCACATCCAACAGATGTTCAAAGCATTTGCCAACACTCCCAAGTGGAAATGGCCTAATTTCCACTTATTTATGAACATGGTGCATACCTTTAATCCCAGTACTCAGAGGCAGAGGCAGGAGGATCTCTATGAGTTCGAGGCCAGCCTGATCTACAGAGCAAGTTCCAGGACAGTCAGGGTTGTTACAGAGAAACCCTGTCACAAGGGGGAAACAAAAAGAAACAAGATTATGGATATGACTTGGAAACCTAAGGGATACAATGCAGATACGCAAAGGCTACCTCCAGCTTGAGTCCTTTAGCTAATATCCTAGGAGAGGGTAGTGATGGCCACGCCACTCTGAACTAGTGAACATCTTGGTAGCCAGATCATTTTCCAGTGATGAGATGAGGAGAGGAGAGGAGCCCAACACTGCTTTCTCTGGGAATTCCCCCCAAGGAGACACTCAGATAATGCAATGCTCAGTGCAGAGTCAAGTGCACTGGGAGACATCTCAAATGTCTGAACTGAGTGCAGATGATGCAGGGCTGGAACACACCGTCTGCCATACTGACATTCTATGACAGACACTGGCCACGTGGGTTGAAGTCCCCTATACTGGAAGCCTTCAGCTGCCAGCTCCAAGGCCTGACCCACTGCAGAGTAGGAGATGGCTTCTTGGAGGAAGCCAGGTGGAGACAGATAAAGCTAGTTACTGAGATGCAGGAGCGGAAGGACACTGGGGCGTCCATCTGTGGTTTGGTCACTTTAGGCAATCCTTGTCAGTTCCTAGATTGTGGCAGCATTCTGAGGCCATGTGCCCCTTCCAAATAACTGCCTAGGGTTAGAGGTTTGCTGTGCCCACTTAGGTGCCAGGGCCAGGGAGCCTATCTCCTCCAGGAGGGTCTGTCCACTCATCCTAGCCTCAGCCCGAGGGGAAAGAGGAGGAGGCTCTAAGTCTCTGCCCAAAAGGCTGCTAGAGCCCGGCTGCAGCATTTTCCCACTGACAAAGCAGTGGGCTGAGGTCTCCCCAGTGTGGCTGTCAGGCTGCTCACTGGGGAGGGCACCTGGGAAACCCAGCTCTAGGGTCTGACTTTTCTGTCCCTGAGGACAGTAATACACCAGAGCACTTGTCTATCACAGAGAAACAGAGTCAGGAAGTCCACTTCTTAGCCCAGACCTACACCCCCAGGCATAAGCCAAAATGAGCTCAGCTGTGCCCCTTCCCCCAGTGCCCACCGCACTGCCCTTAGCCATGATCCCAACACCAAGCCCACAACCCTGACTCCTCGGTGGTTTCATCCCCACAAAGCAACCAACTTCCAAGGAGGTGGTGGCAGTGAGCTAACTGGCACCTCCCCCGATTCAGGCATGCTGTGCTCTGGAAAGGGAGCTGAAGAAGCCTGAGTGACACCCACTGCCTGCGGTGCCAGCAGAGCCTGGGGCCGCAGGGAAGCCCGTTCTCAAATGGCTGTGTGTATAATGGGCCCCTTGGGAACCCTGGTACCTCTTTTTTTCCCCCTCTTTCCTTTCCAATTCCTTCTAGGCCCAGAGCAAACCCTTTGACTGTTCACAGTTCAGAGATGGGTAGGCATCTGCCCATGAGGCCCAAGGTGGGTGAGCCTGGCAAGCACTGTGACATCTGGGTGTGGCTTCTGCAGGCAGGGCTTGCTCTGCACATTTGGGAGGTTTAAACACAATCCCAACCCTAATGTCTCCTGCCATGTGCTCACATAAGACCCCATTCCTGCCTCCCCCACCTGTAGCCTTGGACTAGTCTTCTTATCTGGGAGTTGATGTCACGATGGCCCCTCAGGGATTTTGGGAGGACTCCATGGCAGAGTCAGCTATAGTGGCTTGTCACAGGGAAAGCCACTGCACCATGGACTGCAGCTGGAAAAGTCCAAAGCCAGGCCTATCTTTCAAGGGTCAAGTGCCTTTCCCATGGCTGGGCGGAGGTGGGGGTGGGGGTGTGGGACCACAGAGCCTGGAACCCGGCAGAGCTGGTGGGTACAGAATGGGGCTTCCTGCCACCTCCCCACCTCCTCCTCCCCAGCCCAGAGGAAACCGCCAGGCCGGCAGTGGCCAGCCCTTTCTTTCTGCTTCCTCTTTCCCACACAGCAGGGAGGAAGGGAGGCCAGGTCCCTGTATGCCCTGGGCTCCTCAGGCCTCCCAGCCTCCCTGTCCTTGTGCCCAGCAAGTACGTGGCTCTCCTCCCCATCACTACTCCAGCTTTTTCTGAAGCACCTGCCATTAGCCTGGCTCCCTTCCTACAGCATTCCACACCCCAACCCTTGCTCCACCACCAGCTGTGAGACCTTTCTCCCTAAGCAACAGCAAACTCCGGAGTCACTCCTGTTTCTGACACCACAGAAGCCACAGGGAGTGGTGGCACTAGACCTTTAGTCTCAAAGTGAGACTGAGCCTGGTCTAACCTGTTGCTCCAAGGGGCTGGGAGAGCCACTGGGCTGCTTGCCTTGTAAGGACAGCACAGGTGCCATGGAAGTCACCAGGTCTGGAAACCACCCCAGCCAACTGGGCCAAGCAGTAGGGATCAGCAGCCCCAAGCCTTGGCTCCTTGGAAGGTGCACAGGCTGGGGCTCCCTATGGCACCTCAGTGGTACCTCTAGCTAGGGCACTGGTTGAAACATGATTGTCTTCAGCCCCAACGTCTACTGCACCCACACAGCATCCCTGGCCAACTGTCCTGAGACTGCACAGAAGCCACTCGGTCAGTGATGTCTTCTGGTCTCTACTAGACCACACAGGTAAGACCAGGCATGGGGATCCTCCTATGGCACAGTCTCAAGATGTCTGTTTCTATTTTTTGAGATGGGCTCACTGTATCCTAGGCTCAACTTGGACAAGCAATCCTTCTTCCCAGCTTCCAGAATATTGAGATAATTTGAGGGGGGGGAGGGTGTCCATCATGCTCAGCCTTAGGTTTTTTTGTCTGTTGCTAAGGTAACAACTCACATAGCCCAGGCTAGCCCCAATTTAGATATGTAACTAAGACTGACCTTGATCTGACACCTTCACTTCCCATCTACAGGGATTACAGGTAGTGCCACCAAACCCAATTAGACCTAGGATTCTTCTCCCTGCAGGGTTTCTTACGAACAAGGGTAAGTGTTCACTCACCGCTGTGTGCACATCTGGAACATAGTACTAAGTCCTCAGGGTGGCCTCCAGATAAAGGAGCAGCTTTCAGGGTTCCTCCTTCAAATATGCTCCACACCTTGGGGCCTTTAGCCAGCTGTCCCCTGCTACAAGTCAGCAGACTCCCCTCTGGACTCACAGAGTCAAGTGTCGTGGCGCACACCTGTGATCCCAGCACTCAGGAGGCTGGAGAAGGACGATTGCCTTCATTTAGAGGCCAGCCTGTGCTACGTAGTGATTTCCAGATCCACCCAGGCTACTGAGTGAGGCACTGTCAGGGGTGAGGGAAAAAAGGCAAGGAAACTTGGGCAATTTAAACAGTGTTGGCATAAGCCAGAACACTGGCCAGCAGGACAGAAGACTTCCAGCCCCACAGAGGGTACTTCAGCATCAAGTGGAAAGACAGTTTCCCCAGCACACATCACATGTCCACAGGCAGCGTGTGGTGGCCTGCCTCAGTCCCACACACCAACTCAGTCCAGATGCCCACAGCCACAGCGTGAAGGCCTACAAAAAAGTTCCAGGGGAAAATGACAAAGAGCTCACAAAGCCTGGGGTGCCAAGATTTCTTAAGCAGGACACAGAAAACATTAACATGGGGAGCTTCTTACCCAGTGTGGTGTGTATCCATATTCCAGCACTGAGGACGCTGAGGCAGGAGGTGGAAGGGTTGAAAGGCCAACCTCAGCTACACAGGGAGATGGTGTCTCAAAACTAAACTGTCAAGATGGTGAAGCAGGTGCCTGCCACTAAGCCTGACAATCTGAGTTTCATTCCGTGAGACTCGGGTGGTGCGGGGAGAGAACTGGCTCCTGCCAGTTACCCTCTGAGCCCCACACATGCCACATACCTCCCACCCCTGCCACAGGCTAAATCACAGTGACTGAATCAACTATAAGACGCGAACTTGTGTTGGTAAAAAGGTAGTCCACATTGTGCAACATGACATCTGCAATAAAGGAGTGCCATACCACTCTTAAGCTCTGGGAAGTCCTAAAAAAAGGAACACAGGCTAAGGGAACGGCCTATCTGGAAAACCATGACCCACGAACATGAGGACCCCCAAAATCTCCGGAAACAGCTGAGCACAACCTGAGCTCCAGGTTCAGAGATCTTGTCTTTAAAAGTAAGGTGGGCCTTTAATCCCAGCACTTGGGAGGCAGAGGCAGGCGGATCTCTGTGTGTTTGAGGCCAGGCTGGACAGCCTCCAAAACAATACAGAGAAACACTGTCTCATAAAACCAAAAAAAAAAAAAAAAAAAGTAAGGTAGAAAGGCCAGGTGGTGGTAGTGCACACCTTTGATTCCAGCACTCAGGAGGCAGAAGCAGATGGATCTCTGTGAGTTCAAGACCAGCCTGGTCACAGAACAAGTTCCAGGACAGCCAGGCTCTAAAGCTATACAAAGAAAACCTGTCTCAAAAAAAAACAAAAAATATAAATAAAAATAAATAATGCATGCCCAAACAAATATACGCATGCAGACATACAAAGGACAAAATAAAAGAAAAAACAGACTCTTCACAAAAGAATAAATCACGCCAGGTGGTGGTGGCGGCGGCACACGCCTATAATCCCAGCACTCGGGAGGCAAAGGCAGGTGGATTTCTGTGAGTTCGAGACCTGCCTGGTCTACAGAGTGAGTTCCAGAACAGCTAGGACTACACAGAGAAACCCTGTCTCGGGGCAAAAAAAAAGAACAGACCACAATAAGCATGAGATACTAATGCTCCTGAGACACCATCACACATCCATTGGGACTGACCAGGTTAAAGAGTAAATGAGGCTGTGGAGGCAGGGGTCCCTCAGCTACCACCACTAGGGACACCAACTGGCACAGCCACTTGGGAAAAGTCATGGTGTCAGCAGGGATCATTTCCAGAAATACACCCAACAGAAATGAAAACACATGCCCTGCAGAAACTTATATGAAATGTCACTATGACATTATTCAGAAAAGTCCCAAAAAAGCCAAGTGTGGGAGCATATACTAGTAGTCTCACACTTGGGAGGCTGATGCAAGAGGATCTAAGCAAGACCCTCTGGGTGGGGAGCACTCAAGACCCTCTGGGTGGGGAGCACTCAAGTAGAAACCACCAGACCACTCAGCAGCAGGTGATCACTAAACCAGTTGTGGGCTAGGCTAGTGTTTGCACTGAAAAGCACACAAAACTTCAACACTACCGGGAGCTGGAGAGGTGGCTCACAACCACCTGTGACTCCAACTCCACGTACTTGCACACACGCACAATTAAAAATAAATGCACGGGGCTGGAGGGAGAGAGAGAGAGAGAGTTCAGCAGTTCGATTCCCAGCACCCACATGGCCTTTCCCAACTGTCTGTAACTCCAGTTCCAGGGGATCCAGCATCTTCATACAGACATACAATATAGGCAAAACCCCAGTGCACATAAAAAACAAATCTTTAAAAAAGTAAGAGATAAATACACAGGGACTGAAATGTGGTTTAGTGAGTAGAGTCCTGCTGACCAAGCACAATGCCCAGGTTCAATCCCTAGCACCAAATAAAACAGGGCTGGTGATCATGCCTATAATCCAGTAGCCAGGAGGTAAGAGACAAGAGGCTCAAACATGAAAGTTACCCTCTACCTAGCTAGTTCAAGACCAGACTAGGCTAGATAAGACCCTATCTCAAAAACAAAATCAGACATCCAAACTGTGGAGAGGGAAGGCAGGGGGTGGGGAAATGAAGGTACTTAGAGGTACACACTGCTGCTCAGAACTTCAGAGCACACCGTTTAGCAGTCATTGCTAGGGAAGACTGTCCTACACGGCTCTTCAACACTCTAGCAGACCTGGCTGCCTTTCCTCTGCAACAGTGCCAAGTGCATGCTCACTGGGGGCTCGCTCCCTCCACAGCTCCCATTACAACAGAACAGCAGCTCCTGGGCACTAATGTGTGCCTAGCATACAATAGGTGCTAATAAGTCTCTGTCCAGTGATCACTGGTCTGCACCACATGACCATCAGTGCCTGGGGTTGGGCTCACATCACTGTCACCCTACAGCCTGGCTGTCACAATGGAACCACAGGAACAGAAAAGAAATGTAGGTAGGCAACCAGGCCTCAAGCACGCAGGAGGGATGGAGGAGGCTGTAGTACAGCACAAAGACCCTGGGCCTCACTGCAGATAGAGTAAGAGTGAAGCCCAAGCCACCAGCTAGGAGGGAACCAACTTCTCAGAAAAGAGACTGCAGGTGGACACAGCAAGGGTTCCCCTCAGCCCTTAGGGACTTCCTAATATGTCACTGTCAGTTGGATCTGGACTTTGAAAAACTATGAACCAACCTGCTCCAGCCCATGGACAAGGCTAAGCCAGGGCCACAGAGGCCTGCTGGGCTATGGGCGTGCTGATGAATACTCGGCAGGGATCCTACCTTGGGAGGGTCGAAGAGCTGCAGTAGGCGGCCATGGCCTGGACCCGGGGCCCGAAGCACCAGGCGACCCCGCTGCCAGCGTGCACCGCTGTCCATGGCCGCCTCGTCCGCCAGGCTATAGCGCAGCGCCGCCTCCTTGAGCGCTTCGGCTGGCGGCTCCCGCAGGCTCCAGGGTAGCAGTTTGCGGGCCGTTACCGGCCTGGTGGTGGCAGAGGTGTCGTTGTCGGTATCATTGGTGTCGCTGGCGGCTCCTGGCAGCTCCCCAGCCGAGCGGCGGCGGAAGAACTGGCGCAGGCCGCGGCGCAGGTGCTGCAGGGCGCAGGTGGGCCTCGGGCCCAGGTCCTCGGAGCTGCGTGCCTTGGGCAGCGCGGGGCGGTGGTGTGGGGTGGTGGCGCGGTAGTCGCGGCCCGGTGGCCCCGCGAGGCCCTCGCGCACCTCGCGGCAAAAGTGTCGCTGGAAAAGCTCAGCGAACTGCAGCGACACCAGGTCGGCGCGCGGTGGCTGTGGGTGCGCGCGCGCAAACAGCCAGTACTGGCGGGCCAGCTCCCGCGCCGCAGCCGCCGCGTGCCGCTCACAGAAGTCACTCCAGCCGCGCGGGGAGGAGGGCGATGCGGGTGCTGAGGACGTTCGGGAGGGCTGCACGGTGGGTCCGTTCATGGCGGAGAGCGAGGCGGGGCGGCCGAGCTGCAAGACAGGACACAGAGCAGTGAGCCAGGGAAGGTCCCCGCCCCCACGGCCACCCCGGGAACCCCGCACGTGGAAACCAGCAGACCGAAGGCGGGCAGCGCATACAAGGTGGATACTGGAGGCAGGCGAGATGCAGCAGGGAGGAGCTGCCTCCTCCAAGAGGGGCTGTGAGAGCTCAGCACCGCCCAGAGCCATGCGTGGGGTTTTCCCGGATTTTCCATCTAGTATTCTCAAGCCTCGGTTGACCATGGGGAGTGAATTTTGGATGAGGGGAACTGCCCACCAGGAAACAGGCTACTCACAGCACACCTAAAGTAAAAACTGACCAGTGACACCCAGGGCTGGGCATTTCATTACCTATGGTGGGTTCTGTGAAGCAGTACAACTTCTTCAAGAGGACAGTTTGACAAGAGTAATTTTAGACCCCTTCCCCACAGCTAAAGGTTTTCATGGTAGACACTTGCTCTTGGGCCCAGAGCCCTGACCACAGTTCCCTGCTGTTGGTGACAACCTTCACTAAGCAGGAAAGCTTGGGAAGCAAAGGCAAGAGGAAATCTGTCACCTCCTCCAGGAAGCCCCAAGGTCACCCCAAAATCAAACCCATCAGTCTGCCCTGTATGACCCTATCTATTTACGCAGTACATAAACCAAGGCTCACATGTTTCTCTCCACCTGGTTTTTACAGGTGCACAGCTAATGGTGGTCAAAGAAAGGCCTGGCCAGCAGGCAGGTCCACCCTGAAAGACTAGACTACAGATAGGGGCAGTTTGGAGAGCAGGGAAGTACCTGGGACAGCTGGTTACATCTCTAGAAAGCATGGCTGGAACATGGACTGCAGCCCCACCTCTCACTGGTTACATGTGATCTCGAGTGACGTCAACTGACACCCCACCTCAGCTTCCCATGTCAATTACAGGCCTGGAATCTGGGAAAGTTCCGTGTGACCGACTGCTGTCCTCACTTAAATGTTGCAGAAGCATGGTGATAGCCACACTGAAGACGAAATGCAGCCTGTATTAACTAGACTCACAGGGATGTAGGCATCTCTAGGCCTGATGGGGGACTCAGGCAGATGCAGGTATAAGACAACCACGACTCTGAGTTCGAGGCCAGCGAGTTCCAGGACAACCTCCAAAGCAATACAGAGAAACCCTGTCTCGAAAAACCAATAAATAAATAAAGACAATCACGAAAGATGTCAGTGGTCACCACTGCACTGTCCTTGAATAAGATAAGCACAGAGGAACCAGGCACAGGGACATCCCTGAAAGCACAGCCTGAGTGAACAAGGTCAACCAGCTTGCCTGTCACAGTCGAGCTGCAGGGACCTGTGTACAACACCTACCTCCATCCACCCCTCAGTCATTCCACACAATACACTGAGGGCCTACTGTGTTCCAGGTACTGCAGTCAGCCTCAAGGATACAACAGTGAACAGGCAAGATAGTTAACCCTTAGCTGGTGTGGTGGCATGTGCCGGTAATCAAGTCCAGGGAAGACCAAAATTTCAAAGTGGGTGGTAGTGTATACTTTTAATCCCAGCGCTTGGGTGGCAGAGGCAGGAGGAGCTTTGAGTCTGAGGTCTACAGAGCAAGTTCCAAGGCAGTCAGGGCTACACAGAGAAACCCTGTCTCACAAAACAAAACAAAACAGTTCAAGATCAACCTTGACTGCATAGTGAATTAACTCAAGGTCATCCTGTGTTTCATGAGACCTGTCTCAAAACAACATGCAAACCAACCTGTTTCCCCAGAGCTCACTGCAAAGAGGACCAGGCACTGGCTATGTGGCCACTGACACCAGACTGCATCTCTCTGAACCTCAATTTCCAGCCCATTAAATGTTTGTCAGGGGCTGGAGAGGTGGCTCAGCGGTTAAGAGCACTAGCTGCTCTTCCAGAGAACCCGGGTTCAGTTCTCAGCACCCACATGGCAGGCAGCCACACCTGTCTGTAATCAAGTTCAAAGTGATGTGACACTCAAATACAGACAAACGCAGACAAAACACCAATGCACATAAAACAAAAATTAGTAAATCCTCAAAAAAACTCTGCCAGGACTAGAGGGGAACATCTGGGCCCAGATATGGGGCACTTTCTCCTCTGTGGCCTATGCACTGCAAGACCCAGCATAAACAAGTGAGGGTGGTCAGCCATTGCTAGCACCTGACAGGTCCCTTCAACTCCAGTGCAGAAGCCTGTGCACTCACCGGGGTACACTGTACTCTGTCAGTACTTTGCATACCACACCATAAGGTCTTTGGCACACAGTAGGTGCTTTGCACATAGTAAACAGTAACCAGGAGGCAGAAGGGAATAGGCCACATTTAACCAAGCCCATCTCACTCTGCCCACCTCCCCATGGGGCGCGCCTATTCCCTGGGGGACTCCAGCCTTGGTCAATGCTATATCCCCACACCAGGCCTTGACATAGGAGAGGCAGTCGAAGCCTTCATGGCCTGGATGACCCACAAGTTGAGTGTACACATCATAGCTGTGGCCCCATCTGCACACTGCAAGGGCACTGGGCTGCATTCTTGCATCCAGTTCCCTAGACCTGTCTGTTTTCATAACATCACACGAGGAGTACCAAGCCCTGAATCTGTCCTCAGCAATGGAGATTTGTCAGTGGCCATCTCTACCAGACTATGGCCCTGGGACCAGGGCACAGCTGCTCTCCTCCACTTCCTGCCACAGCAGGGGCTTGATGAAACACACAAAAACTGGATTTGGGTATATCATCCTCCAGCAGGCCTGGCATGAATAAAGAATTTTTTCCTCTTGACATGGCCTCATGTAGCCCAGGCTGGCCTCCTCCTGTCTCTACCTTCTGAGAGTTGGGTTTATGAACATGTACTAGGTTTCTGTGGTGCTAGGGATGGAACTCAGGCTTCCCACTACTATGTAAAACAGCTCTACCAACTGAACTGCACCCCAGTCTAAGAATAAACACAGGTACACAGATGCCTAGTGACTAGCATGAGCCATCAGCTACCACATTGCCTAGCCTGCCTTCTGGGCACCTTAGTTCCAAGTGTCCATGCTGGCCCCTCATCTGGAACCTGTGCCTGTTCACTCTGTACAGCAGGTCTAGAGGCTCAGCTACAAAGGCAAACCTGCAAGACCTCCACACTCCCTGCTAGCCAGGCCAGCTCCGTGCTCACTGCAGTCCCCCACAAGGTGACACTGGCCACGCACCCAGCACCCTTAGCCCTGGCACTCTTCTAGCCACTTCTTCAAAGATAAACTCTAGGCATCACAGAACCCAGGGTGACCAGTACAGCACTCACAGACGGAACTCCAAAGAGCCCAAGTGTACCCCAAGAACTAACTCGCTTCCTACATCCTGTGGAGTGCTTACAGCACAGAGCCCGGAATGTGAGGGACTGTTTCAGCTCTGCTGAAGTGGAAAGTGACAAGCAGCCCTGCCACAACCCACACCTACCAACTGTCTAGAAACAGTCACCATGTACAAAGAAAGCACATCCACTCTGGCTCTGCTCCAGGCACCCTGAATCCTCACTAGCTGGGTGTCCTGTCCTTAGGTCCAGATTTAAGATGGGGAAATTAAGGCATGGGAGGTGGGCTTGCTCAGAGTCCCACAGTCATCTGGAGGGGACAGACCCATCAGGTCTGTGCACAAGCACAGGCTGGAGACAGCAGCAGTGTGCCATCCACCTCCACTACTGTGAGGGGCTCCTGCAGAGCCCACAGTCCACTCCCAGCAAGTGCCCCAGGTGCCTCTGCAGTTGGGCAAGGCAGGCTGGCACTCCACCCACCCCAACTCCAACATGGGACGCTGAGAACACACCTGTGGAGAAGAGCACCCCCTAGGTCCCTCCCCCACAGTCCTAGGAGCTGCCTCCACCCCACCCTGCCAGGAGGTAGCAGAACAGGCAGGCGGGCGTTAGTAGGCACCTGCACTGGCGCTGTAAAGGCTGTGGTAGGTTGGCAGAGGCTGGGAAAAAGAATGACCGAGCTGCTTGTCCCTGACACTTTAAGGACAGTGGTGGTGAGACAGGACACCCACCTTCAATGCCCAAGCCTCAGCAGGAACCCAGTTTGGGTCAGGCAGCATGGCCGTAGAACACAGAAGGTCCCCAGGCCCAGGTGACTCCAGGCTGGCTGGCCAGGAAGCTAGGCAGCAGGAAGACGGTCCCTCCCGTGACTGACTGAACACTTTCCATGTGCTAGGAGATGACACAGCTGCTCAGCTGTGAGAAGGGGGAGCAGATCTCAGCCCTAGGAGCCCAGGTTCAGCTTATAATGGGCTCTGTCAGTACGGCTCTCCTCTCTGCCTTCTCCACAGACAAGATATAGCCTCACCCGCCTACCTGGGCTCAGACAAGAAAGAAGAGCTGGGCCCTAGGGAGGTGGGTGACATCTCTACACTCCCATTGCCCTCAGACAGCCTCAGGCAACTCAGACAAGCAGTGGCTGGTGCTCGTGCTCAGGCACAGCCACCCCAAGGACACCGTGGGCCTGTCCAGTCAGCGGGAATGGAAGACTGCTGGAGGGGACTCTGAGCACCCCAGTCCATGCCTGCAAAGATAGCTCCGCAACCTCTCAGCTTGGCCACCGTTCCATCTGGAACACTTCACCTGCCAGGCCATGGAGGGCTGCTCAGTGTGTGTGCACCCAAGAGTTATGCCTGCCCCACCCCTAGATCCTGGGACAGGAAACTCCACACCACCCTCTAAAGGCTGCCTCCTCCTGTGAGGCTGAAAAGACCCAGTGCATGGACCTCACACTCTGGCCCAGAAGAAGCAGGCTGCAAGGGAATCAGCTTGGCCCTGGGAGACTAAGGCTAGACCACTTGACAGCCAGTGAGGCCCATCCAGGGGTCACCAAGCTGGCCCAGTCAGCCAGAATAGGAAGTAAGGCCTGGCTTCCTCTGCCCTGACTCCCATTTGCACTCCACCCCTGGCAAGTTGACACTCCAGACAGTCACTACCCCAGTAAACTCCAAGAGCTGGGGAGAGCAGGGGACAAGCCCCCAAGAGTAGTGAACCAGACAGGGCTTCCTTCACCTTCTCCTTCACCCACCCCAGGGTTGACAGTGGCAGGTGAACCTCCCCAGCTCCTGAACTATCTGGGGCTTTAAAGGAGAATCAATGCACAGCCAGCCTCTGGCCCTGGTGTGCCCTTCCCACCCAGAGGACCCCTCGGGACTCTGTGAAGATGCCACCAGCGCAGGGTCTGAAAGGTAAGTCTACCTCCTGCATCAAGAGGCCACACCCCCAGTCAGCTGCCATGAGTCAGCCCCACAAGCAGGGCACACACTTCCTCCCTCCAGGCCTCCTTTGGGGACCAGGCTGCACCCCCGTCAGCCACTGGGGGGCACATCCGGACAGGCCCCAAGGGGCTCCAGGCCTGGCTCACAAGGAAGGGGGGGAAGGACTGGCCCCCCTACCGACCCTTGACAGGGTTGTGTGGGAGGAAAAATCTTTCAGCCATCTGGCTCAGCTGCTGGGTTTCCGGCTGGCCAGGGAGGGGCAGGCGATCAGGTCCCTTAGGGACCTGTCTCTTGTCCCAATGAGACGAGGGACACGAGGCTAGACAGCCCAGTGGTGGTCAGTGGGACCCCAGAACACTGACCAAGAGGCACTGGCTATCCAAATCATGGGGCTCAAGCAGGTGGTGTTTAATAGTGGCCAAGGACATGCAGCCAGGTCTGAGACCTACCCAGTGCGACGGACCTCGAGCCCCCGGAAGCTGGGGTGCAGGCTCCTGTGTCCAATTAGGCATGACTCAGCCAGTGACCCCCACTGAGTCATTTCCTCTAGGCAGCCTGCCAGCCTCAGTTTCCTTGGGGAGGGTGGGTGGCTGGGAACAGGCCTGGCAGGAGGGAGCAGCCCCTCCAGACACTCCAGATGGAAGCTGCTTCCTGCCCTGCCCCGCCCAACCAGAGATGCTCAACACCCAGGGGCCCTAGGGACCGTTTTCCCAGGAAGCCTGGCAATTAAGTTCCAGCCACCCCATGCCAGGATTAATAGCAGTAGCTTGAACTCATGGAGCACTAACCTCATGCCGACACCGCATGCCTCTCTCAGAACAACTGTCCTCCAGCACCTCCACTTCAGAGCTCTGCCAACACTTGGAGTTCAGAGATGGTAAAACACCTCAGAGCCAGCATGGTTACAGTCAACCTACCCCGAATGCCTACCCTTGAAAGGCTCCTACACAATCACCCTAGAGGGGCAGAGACTTGGTCCACACTGGGAAGGTCTTAAGGGATGTCAGGTACCTTGCCTAGGGCCTTACCCCTGAAGCTAACAGCCTGAGTCTCTCCATGTATGCTGCCCCAAAGACAAGTGAAATGTGATGGAAAGGCCTCTCCTTCCAACAATACTATCTTCTCCATCTGTGTGTGCCACACCCCACAGCAGTAAAACCCTTCCCACTCCTGATGACTTCCTTGCCTCAGAGAGGTTAAGTGACCACCCAAAGATAAAAGCAAAGGGAGATTCAGAAGCCGACTAGCCTCAGAGGTAGACTGGACCCTACAGGTCCTGGACCCCGAAGGTCTGCTCGGCAAAAGGTATGATATAAGCCCACACTGAGGGCAGTTAGTTCCCTGTGAGGTCACCAGAGCTCTCCATCAGTCACTCAGGCTAGAGAGGGCACCCTAGGCCTTAAAGCCAGAAAGGGCACCCAAGTACCTCCAGCTCTATCCCAGAGGAGGAAGAGACCAGAGGGTGGCCAGCTGGATGAGGTATCCTGAGGTACACAAGATGACTGCACAGCCCAGCTGCTCAATGGACCTCACTTGCTTAAGAAGATTGTGTCCTGAACAGGAAGGACCAGGCACTGGGTGACAGACTAGGGTGCCACAGAGTCAGGAAGGAACAGGAGCAGAAATGACCTCAACAAAACAGATAACGTTGTCATGACTCAAGCCATTGTCGGTGCTCTGGTGGTCATCTCAAGTAGGTGTCAATGAGGAAACCAGACCAGGAAGGGCTATCGCCCGACTGACCCTGCCCCGGTCCTTCAGAGTCCCCTGCCCAAAGATCTGGGAAGCCCCAGAGCAGCCAGTGCTCAGGAGAGCTAAGGAAGGTCCCATGGCAGAGGCCCACAAAGCCGGACAGTGTGAAAACAAACAGCCTGTAATTGACATCCGCTGCCTGCCAGGCCAGGCACAGGTGGTCTTCCACGCACAAGGCCTCCGTCAAACTGCACCTGCAGATCTCTTATCACTCACTTAACACAGGGGAAACTGAGGAACAAAGCAGAAGACGAAGAATGTAAGTCCTGCCTCTAGGACCCTCTGCTCCTCGGCCACTGCCTAGCCCTAGAGGGACCCAGACCACAGCTGCTGCTTCTGGTCAGTCCCTTCCCAGCGAGCCTCCCCACAAGTTCCAGAATGTAATCACCAGATGGAGTTCCCTCCCAGAGGGGCCTGTGGGACAAGGCTCGGAAAGTGTCCTAATCCCGTAAAACACTTGCAACTTCCCCAGTGGGCCCTGGCCTGTCATGGGCCTGCTTGCCACGACCTCTGCCTGCTTTCACCTTAAGGGATCCGTATGCCACCCCTATAGATCGCCAGGGCCGCTTCTGCTCCGCCTGTCAAGTCCAGTGACACACGTGTCCACAACACCCCCCCCCCGGCAGGGGCCAAGCACGCTGTGTCCCCGGGGCGGTTCTCGGTTCCTCCCGCGGCGGCCCCCCCACCCCTCTCCGGAGGCCCCAGCTGCTAGCACTGACCTCCGCGCCCACATCACTGCGGTCTGGGATTGGGGAAGAGAAACAGAATGAGGAAACGCCAGAAAACAGAAGCGGGACGCGGGCAGCCGCCCGGTTCCTCCAATGCGCTCGGCGGGCCGCGCTTACCGCGCAAGCTGCGGGTCGGGGCCCGGCCGGCCCATGGCGTCGCACGGCCTCTCGGCGCTCAGGCAGGAAACCCCGGCTCGGAAAACGGCCAGCGCCTCATTTCCGCCGCCAGCGCCTGACAGCAGCCGGGGGACGCGGCCCCGGGTCGCCCCCGGGACGCTGCTGCTGTGGACCCCGTGGTCCGTGACAGTTTCGGCGGGCGGGTGGTCGAGAGGAGACAACGGCCCGAGCCCATGCCGCCCCGCGCCGTTATGTAAAGAGGAACCGGCGGCGAGCCGCGCGCGGCAGCGGAGGCGGCTTGGGGGGCGGGGCCACGACGAACCACGCCCCACCCACCGCCAGCCGCTGGTCCAGGGGCGGAGCCTATCCCGGCCCCGCCCTCCCCAGCAAGTTTGCACCCCCTCCCTTCCGCCCCAAAGGCGTGTTCCCCACCCTCAAGTCTCGTCGCGTCCCCTAAAGGGAAGGGAGTCGTTGCCAAGGGGAGGAGTGGACTTGGCCACGCCCCCTCGCGCCGGCCAGTCACCGCGTGCCTCAGCGGGGCGGGGCCCCTGGGGGCAGGGCCTGGCGCGCGGTGGGGCGTGGCTGCCCGACCTTCTGGACCTCGTGGGGGCGCGCCCCTGCGGACTCCTCAAGCCGGGCCTTATCTGTGCTCGCCCGGCCGGGTCTAGCAACTGCGACCGCGGCTTTCATCACCTCCGGGGGGAGGGGGCCCAGGCCTGGCCCCGCTTTCGGCGGCTCCCGCGAGCCGACCCGCCTCGGCCGCGCCGTCCATTCGGGTTCCGCTCCCGGACCGAGGTCCGCCTCGTCCCGGAGCGAGCCGAGTAGGCTATTTTCTACCTCGGCCGCCCGACCGCTCTCTAGCTTGATGCAACTTTCTCCAAGAACGCCTCCTCACCCTAGGCAACCGAGCCCCTTGAGCTAACACGCCTGCTCGCCCCTCAGCCCTTTACCTTTTCTCTATCGCCTCATGGGGGTGCGGCTAACAGTGGGCTGACCCTGTTCTGAAGTGGAGTCACTGCACGCCAGTCTTGCCCGCGACACTAGGGAGGGCGGCTAAAGAGGAATGCCTGTCCCCTCCCCCTCCCCCAACAGGAAACAGGCCGCCCACGCCCCCAGCTTGGAGGGGCCACTGCAAACCTTCCCAGACGACAGGCTCCCACGAGCCCCTGGCTCCCTAGAGCCCACTACCTCCCCCTTGCTGCCTGGGACCAAATCCTTGGCCTCTCCAACTCGGTTTCTTCATCTAAGAAATGAAAATGGCACGTGTCCCCAGCCCACTCGGGGACTGGAAGGAGTGAGTTCCTGCACCAGAGCAGTCTAACCAACCGGGCTTCAGCCCCCCAGGCCTGCCGTTGGAGCCCCAGGAAGGGACTCCCCCACAGGTGGGGATTTCCACTGCAATCGGACGGCAGCGAGCAGGGGGTGGGTGGCAGGGTGGCTTGGAAAAAAAAAAACCACGAAAACGTGCGAAGGCGACACCTACTGTGTGACAGGCACTGTGTAAGGCGTCTGTGGGGTGGGCACCAGTTAGTGATTCCCTCGTGGGGGCGGCACGCTGGCTAGCAGACCAGCGACAACCCCGTTGTGGATGTGGGCCGGCCGTCTCGGGGACTTGGGGAGAGAAATATTCGAGTAATACTTAAGCGGAGACCTCCCACATGAGGGAAGCGTCTGGGCATGATGGAGTTTGAAGAAAAGGCATCCCAAGCCAAAGCCCCTGGGGTTCCTTGGGAGAAAGTGGAAATGGTCCCGCCTACACCAGAAGGAACACGTTGGCTGGCACGTGTTGTCTTGAGGTCTCGCTGCAGAGTTTGTTTGCCTGGTTGTTTTTTTTTTTTTTTTTTTTTTTTTTTCCTTTAGGCGTGCACTGGGGAGACATGAAAAACTGTGTGGAAGAGGCGGCCCGGCTGAGCTCTGCCACAGAGCCTGGGGCTGGTGTCCCCAGTCGGAAGTGTCCCCTGGAAGGACGCAGCACATAAGCAGGAAGGAGGGCCTTCGGTGAAGTCTAGCCTGATTGGCCCGGAACACACTCCTTGCTACACCTGGGGCGAATGCCGGGTAACTGCAGCCTGGCTGTGGCCAGGAGGCGCGCGCGGAGCATCAGGTCCTGGCAGCCTTTGCCAAATGGTGGCTGCAATCTGCCAGCCGCAAGCACTTTCCCTCTCGCAGCCGACTGCAGCCCTGCTGAGTTAAATGGGGACTTGTGGTTCTTCCTCTTTTTAATCACAGGCCAGCCCTGCCTGCCAGATTTCTCCGAGGCCCAAACCCGTTTCCTTCCTCGCTCGGTTTCTTCTCGTCCCGCGGGCGCGCCCCATTCCGGGTTCCCTGAGAGCCCTGCGCTGTCAGAGTCCTCTGTTTATTTACGTTTTTCTCCTTCGAAGGGCAAAGGGCTCCAAGGCCATTGCTGCTGCGCCCTGCTTGAGACCCTGCGGTGACAGCAGCGACTCTGGACTCTGGATTCCCTGGGATCCAGCTCCTCCCACCCAGCGGGGCTGGGGGGAGGAGACCGACACGCCAGTTCCCACAGCTAGCAGGGACTGCCGGAAGCTGGCTGACCACTCCCAGGGGCCCGGCCACCCGCCCTTCCTTCCTGCTGACGGCAGGCCGAGTCCACCTGCCAGGGAGCCAGGTGGCCAGGTCAGAGGTTCTCTAAATCAACAATGTCAGTGACACAGTTATCACCTTAATATCAGTCAGGTGTAGTAAGTAATGAGGCTTTGCATTTAGAGGCTGAGACAGGAGGATGAGTTCAAGGCCAGCCTCAGCTACCTAGAGTTAGAGACCTTCCCGGGCTTCATGAGGCAGTCTCCAACCAAACAAGCCCAACAATACCAATGAAAGTTAACCAGAGCCAACAGAGTACTAATAAGTCAGTGATCCAAGTCGTTCATATTGTTAATATGAATAGCAACAAACATTAACCAGATAGGACCTGGGGGATGGCATGATAGGCAAAGTACTTGGTGTGCAAGCATGAGGACCTGAGTTCAAGCCCCACACCCGTGTCAAAGCCAGGCAAGGACCAATGGGACTTGTAGGTCAGCCAGCCCTGCCCCATCAAACTAGTTAGTTTGGTGAGATACTCTCCAGAAAATAAGTGGACAAAAAGAAGAAGAAAAGAAAAAAAAATCATGTATGTCCAGTGCCTTTACTTCCCCAGTACTTGGGATCGTAGAGGCAATCGGAATTTGGGGCCAGCCTGGTCTACATAGTAAATTCCAGGCTAATCAGATCCACATAGGGAGACACTGTATCAAGAAAAATGAAGTGAGAAATAATAGGCTGCTTGAAATGCACCCACTGGTCAAGCCCCAGGGCTTCTACTACAGTGCCTGCCTGCTTTTCCTTTTGATTTTTGAGGCAAGGTCTCATTGATTTACCCGGGCTAGCCTTAGACTTAGCCCAGGAAGGCCTTGAACATTTAATCCTCTGTACTGCCAGAATTGGCTTTGTTCTTTTTTTTTTTTTTTTTTTTTTTGGTTTTTCGAGACAGGGTTTCTCTGTGGCTTTGGAGGCTGTCCTGGAACTTGCTTGGTAGTCCAGGCTGGTCTCGAACTCACAGAGATCCGCCTGCCTCTGCCTCCCGCGTGCTGGGATTAAAGGCGTGCACCACCAACGCCTGGCTGGCTTTGTTCTTGGGTTTTGAGTTTTGCCCTGTTGCCCAGGTAGTCTCAAACTTGTGATTCTCTCCAGCCTCCAGTGCTAAGGGTTCATAGGTGTGAGCCTCCAAACCCATCTTGTACTTATCATTTCTAATGTTAATTAAAATGTATAGCTCAACCTAGCATGATGGTTCACACCTGTACTCACAGCACTCTGCAGCAGAGGCAGGAGGATCACCCTGAGACCAGGCTGGCCTCAAACTCACAGAGATCCGCCTGCCCTGCCTCCCAAATGCTGGGATTAAAGGGGAGCATCACTATCCCTGGCCAGAAATTTTTTTAAGATTTATTTATTTATTTATTTATTATACATATAGTATTCTGCCTGCATGTATGTCTGCAGGCCCGAAGAGGGCACCAGGTCTCATTATAGATGGTTGTGAGCCACCATGTGGTTGCTGGGAATTGAACTCAGGACCTTCGGAAGAGCAGTCAGTGCTCTTAACCTCTGAGCCATCTCTCCAGCCCCCTGGCCAGGATTTTTTTCAGGTAAGTTTTAAATGTTCTTTGAGAAGAGTATCCCAAGCTGATTTGAACCTCTTGATCCTCCTGCCATAGCCTCCCCAAGTGCTTACAGGGCAATGTCCAGCAATCAAGTCCAGTTTCTGTTTTTAGACTTCAACCTCCTTCGTGACTTTGAGTCACAACTGATCAAACTGCACCTGAATTATCAAAACCAGGAGACGGTGAAGGAGTGTTACCTAACAGACCACAGAGTGGGGGTGAGGGTTGTTGTTACACACAGTTGCTAGCTAATGCAGTCCCCAGAGAGCTCATCTAAACTGTCCCTCAGCAATGGCTGGAAGGGCTCGGGAAAGCAGCCTTGGTTTTAGCACAGCTAACACTTCAGCCGGGGCCTCTTTCTACCAGACACTCAGAACTCCTAAGCCTTATTCCTGAGCTGTGTGTCGGATCTGCTGAGCTCAGGGGCCTGGCGCTATCTTTTCCCTCTGTCTCCTCTCTGGGGCTCTGGTTCCTTTTTCTGTGCTCACTGCCCCTTCCATGTGAAAACTGCCACCAGTCCTTGCTCAAGACAAGGACAGTGAGGCCTCATGCTCAGAATTTGCTGTGCCCAGCCAAAGCCATGCCTGCCATGAAGGCAAGGCTGTTTGTCCGTTTGTCCTGTGCAGAGGAGGAAGACTGAAGCCTAAGTGAGCCGACCAAGCTCACACAGACGCTGAGGGACTGAGGCAGCCGTTCTGGTCCTGGACTCCTGACTAGAGTGTGACTTCAGAGCCCAGGGCTCCCTCATCTACTGTACCCAGTGCCAGAAATAAAGACAGCTATAGGAGAATAATAAATGATGTGTTTATGTTTATTTTGAAACTGTAACCTAGGCTGTTCTGCAACTCACTAAGTAGCCCCAGGCTGGCTGTGAACTTGTAGCCTCGTGCCTGAGTTTCTGGGTTTACAGGTACCGGTCATCTCACCTAAGTCATGTGGAAATGATTTTTAAGGTTTTCCACAAACTCACAATT